GCAGCCTCAGCTCGGGACGTGTCCAATTGGCAAATCTCTAGCAGCACCTTCCATTTCCATTCTGAATCCAGGAATCCGAATCTTTCTTGAAACCCTTCAGAAACCCAGGAAAATGGCTGGGTTTTTTAAAAGAATGATGGTTAAAAAGAATGAGCGAGGCCTTGAAAAAACAACTCCTAACCCAAACACATCCTGAAATACTCGAGGAATGGATTATGGCCCAAAAGATGTTAGTTCCAAGCAAACAACAAGGCCAGAGTCTAATGGACCCATATCCAGTTGCCCCAAACGCACCAGCAGCTGGCTGGAGAAGGAACCCTAGTGCTCGGGGCCATATCTTGGCTGATGTTGGGTTTGGGGAGAAAAAATACATTTTTTAGCAGTTAAGTGGATTTGTATTTCAACCACTAAACCACAATGAGCAAAAATGTAAATGTTTCCCTACAACAACCATGATATTGCGCACACGCAAAGAAGTAAACACGGGAGATATGGCTGGGTGGGTTCAAGGGCAGCTTTGGTCGCTCCATTTTCTATTGCTGGCTGGGTGGACTTGTGTCTCTTCAAGATATACCTGGACTTTTCCCTTAGTGGTTGTTGCCCCCAACATTATACGGGGAAATGTTTTTTTGGTAGTTTGAGGGTCGAGGTACACTTTTTGGGTCTTAAAGGGCACCACCGTTTGAGGGTCCTGTCACCTGAACCAACGCCCCTGCGGCCTGCGGAATCGGCAGGTCCGCGAAAATCAGCATAACTGGACGATTCCACAATCGTCGGAGAGTGAGCAACCCACTTATGGAGCCCCTAAAGGGTGGGTACACGGGGGTGGGAGTGAAGAGCCCATCCATTGACCCAGAAAATTGCCATTGATCCCTAAAGAGAATGGGAAAGGCACAACTAGAAATAAGGAGTCCATGACTACCCCAACCTACCCAGTAAAAAGGCATGCTGATCCACTCCCATATGGGCATGTGCCAAATTAGCACCTCCCCCAAAGGTTGTTTTCTTCCCATGGTGTCCCTTTAAAGCCACCCCAAGATGGGGACACAATCCCACAGGCAAGTTGATCAACTTGTCCTTGCAGGCACTTCAAATCTTGATACTATCAGCTTTAGGGGTCCCACGACGCTTCCTGGAGTCACCCCTGAAACATGGGGCCCCCTTTCTAGTAATCCCATGTTCAAACCCCGGGCCAGAAGGGCGGACCCGTGACTCCAGGATTCCTTCAAGCGATGGTCTTAAATGCGCATCGACTCCGTCTGGGCAGACGGCAGGGTGGGGTAGAAGGCGTTCTCGTCCTCTTGGTCCTCCTCTGCCACGTGGCAGCCCTGAGGCTCCACCCAGAAGTCAAGGCCCTGCGCCAAACTGACGAGTTCCCGAGGGGTGAGCCAAGAACCTACTACCCCTTCCACTCACTGGCGCCCGTAAGTGGAAGATCAATCAGCAACCATGAAAAGTAAACAAACATATCTCCAGAGTGATACATTCCCTGTAAAGCAACAGGGGGAGATAAGCAAGATTCGTAAGCAACTCGAAGAAGATGGCTGGAGCTTTCCTAGTCTCCTCCTAGTAAAACGACCCTTTCTCCAGAGTGATACATTCCCTGTAGAGCGACAAGGGGAGATAAGCAAGATTCGTAAGCAACTGCAAGAAGATGGCTGGAAAGAGTAGGCCTCCTAGTCTCCTCCTACTAAAATGACCCTTTTGGGTGGGGGGGTGGGGGTTATGCGCTCAATTGCCGCTTCAGGGGGCCCGCTGGGCGCCATGAAAAACAAATCAGCCCACGCATGAAAGAAAGGGAAGACGCCTCTTGTGGTCTCCATGCAGCACCCCAACGATGGAAAATCTGAGTCGCTTGCTCAAAACCCGGTGTTGAAACGGTCGATCCCCAGAACCATGTAAGGAATTTAGAAGGCGGATATCCGCAGCTACTTCTGGTTGTGATCGTCCCTTACCAACCTTCCTCTACCCGGTTTTTTGATTGTGACTCACCTGGTGCCTGATGCCGCGATGCCGTGAACACGTGCCACTTTCAACCGCACCGACTTGGCCACTTGGCCCCCGCCCAAGCACTGGTCTAAACAGCAAAGCGCCAAAAACCATCACAAACTCCATGCAACACATCTAGGTCCAGTAGAGAGGTTAAAAAGTCAGGGTACCCTTTTGTTCTGTAGTCCACTTTGGTAGGGGAACCCTCCCCCAAAAAAGAAACGGTAAAAGGGCACCTAGCTGGGGGACCTGGACATTTAGCACCCTGGCACCCGTGCGACACGTTTAGGTACCAAACTCATGTCCGTTTGATGGGTGGTTTGAGGGTCCAGGTACCCGGATCCTCATTCCCACTATTAATGGAGATTCACAAATTTCTATAATTTTGGGTTCCAATTGGCCATGTTTAAGTTGAAACACTGAGTGTCCAAGTATCTCCCATCCAAACATTGCACTGTGTGGATGTGATTCCAACTTTTCCTGAAGTTCGGTACCCATTATGGGGATGGTGTTGTTTGGAGACCTGAAGGAACACCAATCCATTTGATTCTTTCTTTCCTCTTTTTTAGAGGGGGTGTAGCCTTTTGAGAAAATTTTCAAAGCTGCACCCGAATCGAGTTCTGCTCCCGGGCTTGTGGCAGCCAAAGCTTGTTTGGAGCGTTCCGCAAGTGCGATTGGGGTTGCCACCGAAATCCTTTTTGGTACCCCGGGGTTTTGACGGGATCTGGGTTCAAGTCGTTGTTATGATCCTGTTGCTCGATCACCTTTTGTTTCATCATGGAATCTTCGGGGCTCCCCGTAGCCCCCCCTTTCAGGGTCCATGATTTCATGGAAACGCCATATCTTCAAATAACGGGCCCAATGGTGTTGGTTTCCCCTACCCACAAGGAGTACCCTCAAAGCCAGTGGATCTCAGGCAAGCCCTTATAGCTATAGGTAACCCTTCGCCATTCTCCTTTTGCCTTTTTTCAGGGTGGCATGCCCTTGGTTACCTATGCAGGTACCCTACAACCAGGCGATTCCATGGAAGCTGCCACCCCGAAATGGAAGACTTGGTTCCATTTACAAAGGCCTTCTGGAATCTCACTTGGCCAAACAAAATCTAAACTTTGCATTTACCACTTCTCAAAAAATCAAAGTCCATGAACTCAGGAAGTGAGAAATGGATCTGGCAAGGCGTAAATCCGGGCCGCGCCTCGGTGAGCAGCACCACGTGGGCGCCCTCCGCACCCCCCAGATCCGCCCAGCCCACACCTGACCGGAGATACGATTGGGCGTAGGGTAAGGTGTGTGTGAAACAGGTTTTCAAGGCACTTTGGCACTGCTGGCACGCAAGTGAGAAGCCACCGACAATTCATGTGGAGTTATTTGGGCCAACTTTGAGGGTAAACGTCTTCTTTTTATCTATGTGGACTGTCGGAGGGTAAGGAAGCGTTCTCCCCGACACCTTGGTCAGAATTGAATCCAGAGAAAGAAGGATATGGGCCATGGCATTCAGAGGAATCCCGGTCTTTGCCTAAACTCATGAAGAGGTTGACCATACCCAACCCGGGAACTCGGAACTCTCCAGCGGCTGGAACTGCTGCGGGAGAACTCAGGTGTTGCTCCTTTGCCCTTTGTCGGGAGTTGGCTGCGGGGTTTGCTTAAGCCCTGTCGGTTGGGGGAGGGCTCTTTTCTGGGGTAGGGTCCCTGATTAAAGCTCCAGCCAGCCAACACAAAGACGTGAAGCTTCAAAGGGAACCTGAGCCATTGGTTGGGGAAAGGATGCTACAGGAACAACGACGCAATGAACCATCCTCTTTTACCGTACTGTAGGGTATACTGGACGTGCTTTGTTGCACCAGAAGCGCCTCCTCCGGACACAGGCCAGCCCAGACATTTGGATCCCAAAAGGGTGGGAAGGGTGGGAAGGGTGAGTAGCAATTCCTGCAGCCAACCAGCGCAGCTGGTGATGGCGAAGCTCTAGGATAAACATGAGCCACTTGCCTCGCAGAGGACAAAATAGGAAAATGTGGGCTGGGATCAAAGTGGTTGATTCCTATCCTTGGAAACTCACAGAAAGTGGCAAGCTCAAACTCATTCACATTCCTGCGCAGACACTCAGGGTAAATCCCACCGCGGGGGGGACTCATTGGGAGATATTAAGCGCTTTCCTGGGGCGATCTTTCCCCCCCCCCAAAAAAAAAAACGACGGGCCCCAGCAAAAAGGGGACAACCCACCTCTTCGGGACAGGGGGTCCCTCAAACAGCGGCCGGCCCAAATTAAGAACCCAGTCTTTTCGTCCCATCCGTCGCTCCCAAGTCTCAAGTCCCGCCTGGGTTGGGATCGTTCTCCTCCGTGGGCACCAAGACGCGCACTGCACCGCTGGGGGACACCCACTGGGTGATGACGCAGGCGCCCTGAGGCCTGAGGCGCAGCCAAGGCCCCGAGGCCTTTCAATGGGATACAAAACGGATCACATGGCGCACCACTAACTCCCCCCCCGAATCCCAAACCCGTGTCTGGCCGCAAAAAACGCAACTCCTCTTAACACCCCCTACCCTCGAACTCCCTTCAAAATGGTTGTTGCTCCAAAATTATTAGGTGAAATCTCTTCCTTCCTGTTTTTCCGGGGCAGTTTGGGGCTCCAGGTACGGTTTTTTTTGGGGTGGCTTTATATAAATCGGACACAATCCACGCGGAGCGACACGCAAGCTTTCGTTGCAGCTAAGGTTCATGGAGACGATGCGCCGGCTCCTCTCATCCTGCGATCTTTCTAGCCTTAAGCACGGGATATTGCAAGCCAAAAATATGGTTTGGTGGGTAGGCTGAGGGCTCAAGGTGCCAGCTGTTAAAATGGATATTGCCCAGACATTTGTTTGGGGTAAACTCTTATTTAGTATGGGTAGTTTGAGAGTCCAGGCATACATGTCTATTGGTTCCCTAGGAGCCCAGGACCTCATATATGAAGGTCTCAGCCAAAGCCTCTAATTTCAGGGTCTCGGGGTCGGGACCTTAAAATATAGGGTCTCAGAAAATTGGGAAGAGTTGACAGCGGCATGCCCCACGAGGACGTGTTTTTTTTCGTGGCTTTGTCAGGCCCAAATGTCGCAGACAACTGTGATCAGGCAGCCCGTACGTGAAGATCTCGAATGGGCTTAATCCTAGGAACCACTGACACATTGTATTGCACACAAGCAAGCTATGCAGTTCATGCAAGTTTGCACTAGGTTCAGCTCTGTGCATTTGTCCTCGCACCTGTTCAGGCATTGTATTGGAATGTTATGATCTGAGTTACGTGGCTTAAGGCATTTTAACTCGTTTTAACGCATTTTAACCCGTTTTAACGCGTTTTAACGCGATTTAACTCGAGGCCTCGTTATATAGGCCTCGGGGGGTTCATTTTAACGCATTTTAACGCGCTTTAAACTTGGCCTGCGCTCCTATCGAAAAAGCCATTCTTCAGCCCAGGAAATGTTGTTGTCTTCGTTTTTGCTTTGGCTGGCATCCATCAGTGTTGCAGTGGGAAACTTGTCTGGAAAGTGGTTTAGTGTCAAGCCTGGCTGTCTTCATGGGGAAAAGTACAAAGTCTGGTTTGCCAATCTTGCGGTTTTGCATGATCAACAAATACTCATATCTCATTCTTTGCTCTGAACACAGGCAGGGAGAGGGCACCTGACCTACCAGTGGATCCCTCAACCTGAGGCCTTTATATTCAAGCCTTGGCCCTCTGAGCTATCTAATTCCGAGACCTTATTTTTCAAGGTCTTGTCTAGAGGTGCCTCCCAGCGCAGGTCTCGAACAGAAAGCCTTCATATATGAGGTCTCGGGGCTCCTAGGGGTTTTTAACAGTTAGCTTCAAATTCAAACAAAATGTCACTTGTATCCAAAACAAACTCTATTCGTGGCGTGAAATACATGGACAAACATTGTTCCCTCCAGTGGGGTGTCGCCGCGCGCTTTTTCAAATGCTTTCCCCCCTGATTAGCGCGTTCACGCCCCGTTTTCGACAACCTGCGATAGAAATTGGACACACCCGCCCAAGGGCGCTCAAGTGCAGCCAAATGGTAAGAACACCCGTTGAAAAGCACCCGTGCCGCACTGTATCCCTGCCAGCCAAATGGTACTTGAACAAGAACACTTGTTCAAGTGCACCTGCGCAGACAAATAGTAAGAACACCCGCTCAAGTGCACTGTATTCATGCCAGCCGAGTGGTGGGAACACCTGTTCACAAGTGCACCCTCGCAGCACTGTATCCATGCCAGCCAAATGGTAAGAACACCCGTTCAATCGTTCAAGTGCACCCGCGCAACACTGCCAGCCACATGGTGAGAACACCAGTTCAAGCGCACCCGCGCCACAATGTATCCACGCCAGCCACATGGTACTTGAACAAGAACACCCGTTCAAGTGCACCCGCGCCGCACTGTATCCCAGCCAGCAAAATGGTAAGAACACCCGTTCAAGCGCCAGCCACATGGTAAGAACACCCATTCAAGTGCACCCGTGCCGCGCTGTATCCCTGCCAGCCATGCCAGCCCCCGCGCAGCACTGTATCCAGCCAAATTGTAAGGACACCCATTCAAGTGCGCCCACACAGCAGTGCAAGTGCACTCGGACAGCCCTGCCATCCATATGGCAAGAACACCCGTTCAAGTGCAGCCGCACAGGACTGCATCCATGCCAGTGAAATGGCAAGAACACCCGTTCAAGCATGCCAGCCAAATGGTAAGAACACCTTCAAGTGCATCCGCGCAGCACTGCATCCACGCCAGCCACATGGTAAGAACCCCCGTTCAGGAAGCCAGGAATCGCCACAAACTATATCTTACATAATACGGAGCAGAACTGTTTGTCTTGGTTTCTCAGAGGCCCCAGGTTCCCCGTGAACCAACTCCGAACAAGCTCCGAACAAACTCCGAACGAACTCCGAACTCCGAACGATCTCCGACCGAACTCCGAGCAAACTCCGGACAAACTCCGAACAGACTCCGGACGAACTCCGGGCGAACTTGGAACAAACTCCGACCAAGCGAACAAGCTCCGAGCGAACTTTGTCATTGGTTGATTTCCGAACAAACCCCCGAGCCAACTCCGAACACACTTTGGCCATAAGTATGTTTTTGAGCCTAAGTATTTTTTGGAATAAGGTTTTTTGCCCGGATTAAGTTTCAGCCCTCCGCAGCTCTCAAGTCCTACAAATCCGGCCCTGAACGCCTTCCCAGGCCACTTGTTGAAACTGGCCCCTGTAATCACTTGGCCTCTTTTGGTAAGCCCGAAAAAACAAAAAAACAGCTTGGCCACCAAAATGCTTAGGCTCAAAAGCATACTTATGGCCAAAGTGTGTTCGGAGTTGGCTCGGGGGTTTGTTCGGAAATCAACCAATGACAAAGTTCGCTCGGAGCTTGTTCGCTTGGTCGGAGTTTGTTCCGAGTTCGCCCGGAGTTCGTTCGGAGTTCGTTCGGAGTTTGTCCGGAGTTTGCTCGGAGTTCGGCCGGAGTTCGTTCGGAGTTCGTTCGGAGTTTTCCCGCAGTTTGATCGGAGTTTGTTCGGAACTTGTTCGCAGTTGGTTCACGGGGAACCTGGGGCCTCAACGTTCTGCTCCGTATTATGTAGTGTGTGGCCAAAACCAAAAAATGTACCCATGCAGGGTTTGTTGCGGGTCACTGCTTTCTTTGTGAAAACTTGCAATTGCCGCAATTGCAAGCCCAATCTGCCGAAATGTGCGCAGAATTTGGGCGCTCAGAACAATGTGTTTTGCTCGTACAGAAGAGGCGGCTTTACAGTTGAGTGCTTCCCGGAAAACGGCTCAAGCCCTTTCCTCTTGGCGGCCAAGACTCACACATGCTTTGACCCCAAACCCCTTTCAGCAAGCTTTACCCTGAAGTTATTTTTGGGTGGGGAACCGAATTCCCCACGCAAATTGGCCAAGTGGGAAGAACACCCGTTCAAGTGCACCCGCGCAGCACTGTATGCCAGCCAATTGATCCAAAAGCTTAAGATTCCGAGAAGGATCGCTGATGGCTGTGGCAGTAAGACCGAAACAATACTTTGGCCTGAAGATTCAAAAGCAATCATCCAGTTGAACATCGGGTCCTAAGATGGTCTTTCCCAAAAGGATAAAGTCCGAAACTCAGGGTGAGAACGAAACGAAGGCCTAAACCCTGAAATTTCCCTTAAAACCTGAGTTATTGCAACCCAACAATATGGTTGGTGGATTCCCTTTTTTACGATAGTTTGAGGGTCCAGGCAGTGAGTTCAACGAAAGGATCGATGTGGGAAATGGACTCCACTTCGGTCATACAACAGAAAGGGCTTCCCAGGACTAATGGACCTTATACAGGGGCAGATTCCAAAAAGCATCACAGTTGGAGAAATTCCCGCGATCAAGCCCTGGGATCGATGGATGCCTTCCGTCGGACTCGGCGCGATCCTTCCATTTGGTCAAGGCCCCAGGAAAACAAGAAAAACATCTATTTCCGTAATGGTGAATTCCTTTTAAAACCAACAAGGGGGAAAACAAATGGAGGGATCGGATCCGATGGCGATCGAAGCGATGCGATCCTCGGACTCGCGGATGTGAAGCCACTTGGCCTCCACCACCGCGGGCTTCCAGATCTGCAGCCTTCGGCTCGCAACTTCGCTGGGCGCAATCGTTAAGGGCAACACGTGGTGCGACGCGTGGCTCCTTTGGTTCAAGGACCGTCCCCAACAAAAAAAAGAAAAGGGGGTTGGTTGGTGCAAAGGGAAACCAGAAGGAAAAAGCAGCTTGAAAGGGAAACCACATATAGTTGAGAGTTAACTTTTGGTGAGATGTGTCACAAGTCTAACTTCAAAAAGGTACAAGTCCAAGGGTATGGCAGGCAACCGTCACAAAAAAACTTCCTCGTTCTCGGCAATGAAACGACAATCCACGACGGTGCACAGAAGCCATTCAAGCAAGCAAGCAAGGAGAAGAGGGAATGGCCCCAAACCGAACCAGTTTTTGTGGCTTCTTTTAGGGGATCCCCAGGGTCATCCAAAAACCCTTTCGATTCCCTACTGGGCTACCCCCATCAAAGTAATGCTTGACCCAAGTTAGATGATAAAACTCTTCAGGTTAAAGGGTGTAGTACTAACAACCATTCCCAGTAGATCCCAGGCGTTTCACCATTGTAGGTAGCCCTTCGCCATTTTCCGTTCCCTGTCCTTACCTGTGGGAAATGGATCCACGAGGATTGTGCTAAAGCTTGGAATCCCAGAATCTCTCTCACAGGCTGAGTGGATGGCCCAAAAAAAGTCCAAACTTTTTGTTTGCCACTAAAATGGTCTTCTCAACAAGTTTAAAGTTCATGAACTCAGGAAGTGAGCTCTTTAGCCAGCACCCCCCCGAAAAAAATCACGAACGGGTGTGCTGGGATCTCGCCACATGGACCCGACTTACCGACCCCGGCTGCAGCGGCGGAAGCTCAAAGGAGCAGGTTCCACGCACCTGAACCCTCACACCTGCCCCCCCCCAAAAAAAACGGAATTCACCCGGCATTGCTTGAGCAATAACCCCATTTTTTCCTTGGAGTTTCAAGGGTCCGGGTAGTCAAGTCAGTGGCCACGAGTGATAGCACGGAACCCTTTCTTTAACCATGGCCATTGAATAATAGGGACACCATGCCCACTAAAAAGAACAAAGTGGTGAGACATTCCTCCAGTCAGACAACCGCCCCTGCCTCAGCAAGTCATGAAGCTTGGTCGTGGAGGGGGCGTAGCAGTTCTTCCACACCATTTCCTCGCAGAACATGGAAGTCTCTACCCAGATTTCATGCTCGCCACATGTCACTGACTTCTCCCCGGAGTGGATGATGCGTTCATGACTGTTCAGTTGGCACCTATAGGGAATGCAGCTTTTCACACTCACTTGAATAACTTGTCCCCTGAGAAACCAGGGAAGCCACCATCTAAAACCTAGAGGTAGACATGCGCCCGGCTACTATAGTGCTAGCTGGAAGCACTGGGTCTAGGTGTCAGGTTGACCTACATGTGCGCCGCGTGGAGAAAATGCAGCTTACGATGCATACAAGTGTGTGAGACGGGCTCTTCTCAGAGAGGCACAAGATGCTTGGCCTTGCCTTTTTTGGCGTCTTTGGAAAGATGGGCTAGAGAACGTCAACCAGACGCTGGGGCTTCCAATGGAAGACCCAGACTCTGGACACTTTAGAGGGGTTTTGGGGTCTCCAAACTTGGCTGTAAAACTCCAAATCAAACGGGAGCGTTTGGGCAATGAGAGAACAGCTGTTGGGTGCCCGGCCCAACCACTGCGTTTGTTTGTTTTTTCCCGACCCGTTCCGACCGCAGCATAGGCAAGGCGCCCGACAGAAAGAAAAAATAGGCTCCTGGCCTTCTTGAAGGATACGAAACCAAAACAAAATATCCGGCCCGAAAGACATGAGCTGGTATGTTGTTGTATTTTCTGTAAGACCCCCCCAAAACAAACAACAACACCCAACTGGTAAGGCCTTAAGGCATTCAGCCTTCTTTTGACTTGGTGAGCCCTCAGATACTCAGATCCCCCGCCGAAAATTTAACTTTTGGTGGGTTAAATGGAAACTACCACTAAACACTAAAAGGCTAAAAAGCTGAGGGGATGGCTGGGAGCCGCCAAGAAAGGGAAACCACCATTCTTTGGGATTGCCTTAGTTTGACACATAATATCCAGCTGGTGTCTCCTCCAATATTAAGCACTTACCAAGCGGTGCGGTCACCAGATTTGGGGGGGGGGGGTGGTAAAGCCACAGAAGATCTAAATTGGTGTTTGAAACGAATCTGTTTCAAAATCAAGTTCGACTTCTTGAAGTCACCCAAAGGAACACTGGGTGCTGTTTTGTTCGGGGGGTCTAGGATATTGTTGGTTTAAAAACCACAATAGCCTGTTGTTTCCCTTTCCCAGTGTACTCCAGTTTCCAGTAGAAAGGTAACCCTTCGCCATTTTCTTTTTGGTATTGAAAGAGTGGTTCCCTTGGTTGCCTCCCCACTGATACCGAACAGGACCCAAAAAACTTAAAGACCTACCTGTACCCAACATTCCAGGGTAAATTCTACACCAAAGTGGTTGACTCCCTGACAACTATATCACTTTTCTTGCCTGGGAGCAAAGAAACCTGATGCAACTGGGCTGTCCGTTTTCTGATCCTTTGCTAAAAGTTAAACACTTGTAGTGGGTTAAATTCGGAAATCCAACCACTAAACCAACTGAAAAAGCTAAGAAATGATAAGACAACCGGATGCAGGGGGGAGCCACCCGAACCAAAAGGTCCAAAGATTGGCTTTGGGCAAGTGAGTACTTCCTATAGGGGTTCCGATGTTTGCATATACGGGCAACCCAACCACCAAACCGACTAGAAAGCTAAGAAGCTAAAACGCTTTATTGAGTTAAAGGGAAACCCAACCACTAAACCGACTAGAAAGCTAAGAAGCTAAAACGCTTTATTGAGTTAAAGGGAAACCCAACCACTAAACCGACTAGAAAGCAAAAAAGCTAACACGCTTTATTGAGTTAAAGTGAAACCCAACCACTAAACCGACTAGAAAGCTAAGAAGCTAAACCGCTTTATTGAGTTAAACGGAAACCCGACCACTAAACCGACTAGAAAGCTAAAAAGCTAAAACACTTTATTGAGTTAAAGGGAAACCCAACCACTAAACCGACTAGAAAGCTAAGAAGCTAAAACGCTTGATTAAGTTAAAGGGAAACCCAACCACTAAACCGACTAGAAAGCAAAAACGCTAAAACGCTAAGCAAAAGAACCGGATGCCTGGAAGCCACGCGGGCCGTTGGCAGTCCTTGTATGGCGGCAACGCCATGCGCCGCCAGTCGCAGAGCGCCCGCCCCGTGCCCAAGTTCCGCAGCAGCTCGGGCAGCGTCTGGATACGTCGGCAAAAAAAGCGCGCTGAGTCCAATGAGACCTGCTTTCTAGGGGTACCTTCCATTTCCATTCTTTCCAGGGATCCGTTTTTCAGGGAACCATCAAAAACCTAGGTTGGAAACACCGGTTTTGGTGATACCCTCAAACTACCTGGAGTCTCCCTCTGACCCTTTGAAGATGGTTGGTCATTACCCAAAATAAAAGGGGTCATGGACCCATTTTGAAAGGGTCAGAAGGAAACTGCAGGTACTTGGAGGTTCAACCTGCTTCTAGGTCCTCCAGATTTGAGAGGTTAGAATAAGGGTACCAACTTTTTCTGTAGTCTATGGTCTATATTAGTCGGGGAACCCTCACCCAACAAAGTGTAACAGGGCACTACTGGGCGACCTAGGCTTGGTTCCTGGACCCTCAAGATTCCGTTCAACCTCGCAATTATGGGGTGAAATAGGTGCTTTTGGTTGGTTTGAGGGTCCAGGTAGGATAGAACCGTCTTATAACCACGGTTACAACCTACTGAGTGGGTTGTGTGTCCACCCTATTTTGACACATAGCCACTTAGATCTTGCCGTGGGGGGAGAAAGCAAAATCAGCTGGCACCCTGAACCCTCCACCTACCCATTAAAAGATGGTTGGAATTCACACTCCCCAGACATTTTCAGAAATCACCAATGTTTAAGTTGGATTTTCGAGGGTTCAGGACCCTTTGCTTGGTGAAGTTTGGGGACATGCCAAAAGTCCAACGGGTGAAGCCCAAAGAACGGGGCTCAGCCTGGAGGTCACCAGCACTTTCGGAATGGAGTTGTGACCGAGAGAAGCGCCAAGCAATTCCGGGGCGAAGCAATTGTGGAACTCACCAAATGGCTGCGGCTCAAAAAAGTGGTACCAAAATGGCACCTTGGCAACTGGAACCAAAGACTAAAACTCGCGTAACCCCAGCTGTTTAATTTTGAGCCATACCCAAATCAACAGGGCAGCAGGACGTGTTACCACTTAGGAAATCAACCCCACAAAGCTCATGTCCAGGCCCTGGATTTTGTGGGGAAGTTGAGGTTGTCCCATGTCCCCGCAAAACCAACAGTAGACTACCGACAATCTGAGTCAGTTGCTCACAAGTTGTTTAGTATCCTTAGTTTGTAGTTGGCCTCCTCCCGTAATGGGCTACTTAGCACCCAAGTCTTCCCTCAAGCAAACAAGCCTAAATGGGGGAAAGCATAAGAAGCCAAGGCCAACTAAACCAAGAAAAGTAAGGCCTAGGCTCATTGGGGGGAACAACAAGCCCAACTAAGACTTAAGGCAAACTAAAGCGTCTTTGGGTTGTCCCCAATGCCTGCCCCAAAACCAACTAATCGTCAAAATAGGGTTTAAAGGGACCCCCCACACAACAACTATTTGCCAATTCCGACAACCCCTCAAAATGTGCAATGACAAACCCCAAACAAACAATCCAAAGAACTCCTCCACACAAACTTCAATGTACCCTAACCTTCAAAATTCCCTTAACAAATGCGTTCTTGCCCCAAAAAGTGATGGTTGGTGAGTTCCCCTTTTTACGGGTAGTTTGAGGGTCCAAATATGTTGCCCCCACCCCAGCAGCCTTGTCTGGCGATCTTGGGGGGGTGGTTTGTAGCTTGCCGGATTCCCCGCCTTGGGCGGCGGCGCCGCCTGCACCTGCACCGGCTTCTCCTCCGGCCACCAGATGCCAAGCCCGGGCCACACCACTGGCACCGGGCCTACCGGAGACGCGACGGCGTGGGGTGGTTTGGGCTGGTTTGGGGCTTGGGGGTTTGGATTGGTTGGTTCTTGGGATGAGTGTTTGGGGTTTTGGGTGGGTTGGCTTTAAGGTTGGTTTGGGTTAAGTGTCGTGTCGGTTTGGGTTGGTGCAAGGCAGCCTTTAGTGATGAGTCGCTCGGAAAACATCCGCCGAAGCCACCGCTAGATGGTTTCAAGCGGACTGGCAGCTTGGAGTCGTCAGAAAAAAACTCAAGGACAACCAGCTGGCTTTCTCAGACACACCTCGGTTGCTTTCTGCTCCCCTGCTAAAAGTGACTAACTTTTAGTGGTTTAGTAGAAAACCCATTGGTTGGATCAAACAGTTCTTCCGTCCTAACAGCCCTTGGCAAACTTGGTCGCTGTTAACCCCCCTGCAAAAAGTGACTAACTTTTTGGGGGTGTGGAAAGCCCAACTTGATTTCCCAAGTTACAGTCAGATCCGTTGCCCAATAGCAGCCCTTGGCAAAATGCGCCAAAGACACCCTGGGTTCCCAGAAAACGGGGGCTTTCGGGAAGGAACCGAAAGCCTGGATGGTGCACTTCGCGGTGATTCCGCCTCATTCCCTGCCAGTTTGTGAGGGGAAACACCTTTGAGACGAACCCCGAAGAAAACGCAACAAGGGGCGAAAAGCAAGACCAAAAAAGGCACAAGCAAAGAGCGAACAAGAAAATGCAAAAAAAGGGGGCAAACACGCCAAGTCATTCAAGCCACCATCAAAAGAAACACAACAAATGGGGCAATGACCAACCATGATTTGGGTCATGACCAACCATTTTTGATTTGGGTCGGAAGGAGACTCCAGGTACGCTTCAAGAAGGTGAACTCACCACATAATGTTGGGGGAACTACCCATTTTCTTTTTAAATAATGGCGAACCAACCCCTAGAAACCTGCGACAAACCCACGAAAAAGCCGGAGCCTTTCTTGACCCTGGCCGAGCGGGCAGAGCTCTTGCTGCCGCGGCTGGACACTTCGTCCGGCATCTCCTCGAGTTATACAACACGCATTTGCCCTACCTGGAGTCTCCATGACCCTAAAAAAATGGCGTCATTACCCAAACTGGGATCCTTTTTCTAACGGGTCATGTTAGACACCCTGGAGGTGGTTGGGGGTCTCAACACCAGGTTGTTTGAAGGCCCTAAATCAATCGGGAGCCTCTGGGAAAAAACAAAATCCCTGGACCCGAAAGAAACTCGATCTTAGTTCCCCCAACTTCATGTGGTGAGCTCACCTTTTGGAAGGGTACCTAGAGGTATCCATGACACGTCAAAAGACTCCAGGTTCGAGGTCGGTCAATTCCAACTTCTTTAAGGGTAGTTTTGAGGCTTCAGGCGAGGGGACTTCACAAAAAAAAAACCGGGACCTCAAAGCCGACTTTGAGGTCCGGACCCTCCAAAGGGGTCCCGGGAAGGGAGCCTCAGGATGTGTACGGTGCATGGACGATTTTTTTTATTTCGCACAGAAGTTCAACGGAATGATCCGATTTTCCCCCTGTAAATGCCCAAGAAACCATGGTTTCACATATCTGGGTAAATTATCATATTTCACTGGCCTGAATTAAGGTGGGTTGGGGGCTATTCCCCACATAAACCCACCATTTGGGGTGAATTCGGTCGTGTGAGGTCGAAAAAAAATCACCCAGACATCTTGGTTTCAACTTGGTGCACACGTTTTTTTTTGGCCCATAGGGGCCCAAGCGGCCCGAAACGCAAGACCCAGGAACTCGGATCCGACCTGACAAGACAGGGGCAAACCGCGGGTCTCAATCAACACCTGGGGTTGAGGCGGTCTACCCCCTACTCCAAAGACCCGAGCTTTTTTAAGGGTATCACGTCCATCCTCAACTAAAAAAGGTGGTCTTTACCATGGAAAAAACAGGTTTCCCCACACATGCCTTGAAAAAAGGGGGTATTTTGAGTAGGGGGTACCCACTACAGTGTACATAATCAAGAGGGCGGCTGCACCAATTTTGGGTTGGGAGTGCCCCCTACTTTCCTTCGACTACCTCGGGCTTAGATTGTGACTCAAGTAGAGTTTGTGGGTAACCCATGTTGCGAATCTCACTTAGTTGGGATTCACAAGCAAGTATACGATCAGACTATGCGAGCCCCACAACAACAAACCCTTCCCCCTGAGCAAAGAGGCGTTCACGCTGAAACATTGCTTTCCAATGAATAGCGGGGGAACCAGCGCGTATTTGGAGTACCCTAAGGGTCCGATCGCTTGTCTTGGCGCTGGATGAAGGATCAACTTAGAAGCCATACGGCTGTGGCTCAAAACTAAACAGGGAGGGTTACCAGGTTTTGGTCCATGTTTCCCTTACCAGGCATCCATTTTGGGTACCGGTCTTTCGAGCCACGGCCATACAATCTCATTGGGTGTGACAAGAATTTCTGCTTGAGGCCTCCTTCATTTGCACGCCCGACAATCTGCCCTTTTCCTTCCCGGGCCCCCAAAGACCCAGCCCCCCCCCTTTCAGGCCTTATTTGGCCTTGTTTGCCGTATCTTGCCGAATGGCTTAATCATCCCGATTGTTGGGGCGTTGGGCGCTTGGTCTGCGCAGAGGTTGGGATCAACCGAAACTGGTCGAAATCTGGCTGAACATTAGCTTCTTGATTAAACTCTTACCTAGAGTCTCCTTCTGACCCGAATCCAAAATGGGCCCATGACCCATTTCTTTATTTTGGGTACGACCAACCATTTTTTAAGGGTCAGAGGGAGACTCCAGGTCTAGGGCCCAACAACCCTGCCGGATTGAAGCAATACTCCCTGGCGCGCGCTGACCCCACTTGCTGAAGTCTGGGCAAAAAAAGAAAATGGGTGCAGTAGCGAAATCGAGTCCAACAACAAACAGGGGACATGAACAACAAACTGAACCGCAAAATCTTTACACAGCGGCTATCCGGGGCGGTTTCTGTGGTTTGAGGGTTGGTGGTTTCCCCATCGATGGTTAAACTGCTCGGAGCGAATGGCTGGCTCATCTTTTTGTTGAGGTACCTTTTTTTTGTGGTGGCTTTTGAAGGGAAGCACAAGGGAAAACAACGCCTTTTTGATGGTGATTAAAGGGGAACCAAAAGAACAACACCATTTCTGGGGTGCTCCAACCCTAAAAAAATAAAGCACCCAATGTTCCCCTTCAGTCGGAGTCGCTATGTCCGGCGCTTGGCTCGGCTGTTTGCGGAAGTGCGGCACACCCTGGCAGGATTTGGCATTTGCTACGCCCAGTCTGCCCATGTGGAGGGCTCTTGGGCTTATTCCAACCATTCTTTTCAACCTGACCTGATGCCCCGCACCTGACTCCTTCAATGAAAGGAAACAAGGAGACCCATACCTCTAGGGATTGATGCCATATTCTGGTCAACCATCGTTCTTCTCAACAGCCAGTCATTTTCCACGGCTTGTCGGAGTAGAAAGATTCGGATCGCTGGAAAGAAAGGGCAAGGTACCGAAACTAGAAGTAACACCACGATTTTGTTGGGTCCCGTAGTCATATTCGGACCCCTTCTTGTTGGAGCTTTTGGACCGAAATCCGCATGCAGAATGGCCGGGCTTTCAAAAGAGCCTTGGTTGAATAATTAGGACATCCACCCCTAGAACGGAAGACACCAACAGACATGCGAAGGATGGTTGCCGAGCTGCTAGGTGGATTGAATTGACCAGCGCGCTTCGGATGCAACAAACAAAACACGTGACAAGGGTCAAGGAAACTGAGCACGGAACCCCCACAAACGGAGCCGTTCTTCTGTGTGAACCCTCAAAAATCGTTTGGAAACACTGTCTGAAGGACGCACCACCCATTTCAATTTCTATGAAACCTGAAACCCCTACGCGCATCATGGGTTGCTGTCTGTGGATTATATAAAACGTTCCGAGTCCCTTTGCCACCTTGCGGGAACGCTAAGAGTCCTCCTAATATTTCCCCTTGAACATCCTTCCAAAGAAAACTTACTTTGAACAAGGGCGCAACAGTGATGTTGGAAGCCACCAAAAAAGACACATCCTGAACCCTCAAACTAGCTTTGGGTTACAATCACCCATTGTTTTGGGATTTGTAGTAGGGTTACCCCCGTATGGGAGGTTTATTAGATAAGGTCATGAACCCCCCTAGATTTGTGAGGTTTCAGGATCTCGGGAACCACAAAGTGCCTTGGCAGTTGGGAGCCTAAGGCCTAAGGCCTCTCAGTTCGATCGGGCCTGCGGCGTGCAAAGACTCACCTGGCCGAAGTTGGCCGAAGCTTCGCCGAGCGAATCTTCCAAAGTCGGCGAAATCATTTCACGCAGTCACTCGGGGTTCCTCTCAACTGCGTGAAATGAATTTGGCTCAATGGCTGCGTGAAATTGCAGCTAATTCTCTTGTCAAACCTCAATTTGGCTACATACCTCACAACCTGAGTCGAATTATTTAGGCTCTTATGTTACACGAGTGCTACCCACAATGCCGGTAACTCGATAACATGTTCTGCATCAAACCATAGAAGCCAGTGCCAGCTTTGCACTCCGCGGAGCGGTTTCGCCAGACGTGGATGCCCGCCCCAGTTAGTAAGAGCCTAATTGTCAATCGTTTCGGGGGACTTCGACATGTCAAGCGCAAAAGGGACTTCGCCAGGGATCACGTATCAAGTCCACTTTGCCCGAGGAAGCTGAGACATTTGTTGTCCATAGATGGTGCATGTTGCTCAGATTGGTTGGAACGGGATTGTTTGGGCTTTGGCCTTGACATAAAGGATGAGCCCTGAACAGTGGGCTGATCGTGCTTAAGCCGCAGAAACTCAACATAATTCAGGGTCCCGCTATCAAGCCAGGTGCCACAGTTTGCTTATTTCGTTCTGTGGCGTGGATGGCCTCATTTCCCACCCGGCAAATTGCATAAGCACACGCCATCAAGAAATACAAGTATAAACATTATTGATACTACGTATCACGCTCCTGTCCACTGACATGCAACCCACCAAAGAGTCCCTTTGTAGAGGAATATTTCAGCGCAACTGGAATATTAACTGGGAAATCACCAATGATAGGGACAGTTTATTGTATTGTTGCGGTTGATTAATTTTAGTATACTGATTGTATCGCTTACTTGTTTGCAACATTTCCAGTTGAAGTAGCAAAGTCTTGGTACTATGGGCCAACACCATTTCGCGCCACCTTTCAGAAACCCCACGGAATGATTTGATTCCCCAGCGTAAATACCGTAACAAACCTTATGGCTTCAACTAAGACACTGTTGAGACCATTGTCTGTTGGTAATAGTCAATACCAACAAACCATGGTGTGGGCTGCCCTCAGATCCCCTGAGTAACTTGTGTGTGAATTTCGGAAAACCCAACCACTAAACCAACTGAAAGGATCTACAAAGCTCCAAAAGTTTGACTTTTAGTGGGGTAAATGAAACGCCTAAACTTGGGTGCTGTAGATCCCCAACAAAAAGTTTAACTTTTTGCTGGTTACAAGGAAATATGAGGGGAATCCAACAAGTTAAAGTCTAAAGATCCAACCCAATAGCAGTACAGTAAAGCCTCAGCTAAAACGCCATTCTTGTCCCGGACGCCTGGTTTTAAGCGCGCCGACCGGTGGAAAATCGAGCCGAGGCGCCCAGCCGCCGCCCTCCAAGTCCGGCAGCCGGGCGCGGAAGCCCAGGATCTCCGCGAAGGCGCGGAGGCGGTAGCCCCTCGGCATGCGCGCCCACTGGTCGCTGCCGATGTCTTGGCCTCGAGCCATGTGGGGGGTGCAGGTCAGGGGAGAAGTGGTAGTCCAAATAGTTATCGCAGGTCAAAATAACACCGGAACATGCATTTGTTGGTCCTCTCCGGGGGGGAGGGGGGGGGAGGAGAAGGGGGGAGGGGGGAGGGTTGAGGGCGAGGGGTTGATCACTTAAACGGAACGGCACAAAGGCCGAACAGCCCACTGCCATTTGCTTTTTTGCCCCCTGGAACAATGAAAAAACATGTCCAGTAGTCATAGATTCCATTTAAAACCAATAGGGGAAAATAAAAGAGTATTCTGAAGCAAATGGAAGCGCCTGGGAAGATTGAGATTGCGCGTGTTGCTCACATGAGGGTTGCAATTCGGCCAATCAAAGGCTTGGGCAGGAAAGTCAACAGGAAAACAGTGTACCGTTTTGGTTGGGCCATGTCCTGTTGTTGTTTCCTGTCGCCCAACTGGGGGTTCTATGTTCAAAGCCGAGCCGCAAGAATCCCAGGAGATTGATCCATGTTCCGTGTAGGGCCCCACCATTCCGACCATGGGGAACTTCGATCCTTCGGAAAATATCAACTTACCCCTTAAAACTCCGTAAGCAACCTGGGGAAGTTCTCATCTTTTACAGACATATGGCCCATGTTACCCCCAACAAGTTGAGAAAAGTTTGGTGTTTTTAAGAGGTAAGTATCGTATCCCTTTTGGGCTGGTTTTCCCCAATGGTCATCCCATAAGAACCTTTTGATCAGCCCCCAACTGTGCGATGGTCAAGCTGTGGATGGTTGCGCAAGCCGCTTCTCGCACTACCGGTTTATGAAACCATGACATACCATCACAATGAAACCGTAACGATCGTTTACGGTACTTAAAAGGGGGAATCAGATCATTCCGTTGCTGAGAGGTGGGTGCGAAATGGGATTTTGGGCATCCACGGAAACTCCTTTTCTGGCGCCCTTCTTTGTGTCCCCTCCAACCATTTTTGGTTCAGACCCCCTGGAGACAAAAAAACAGTTGAAATAAATTGTTAAAGTTTTTAACAAGGCAAAATAGACAATATTCTTAAGCAAATGGAAGCCTCCAACGCGTCCCCTCCATCCGACTCGCCAAAGGGCCCACGGAGACCTCGATGTCGTCCACGCCCAGCGGCAGCACCGCGAAGAAGGGCCCCTCCAGGAACTCGCCCTCCGGGGGTTGCGCGCCTCCGATGCGCGGGCGGGTGTCCGGCTTCCCCGTTTTTGGCGGACCAACGCAGGAATTCTCGGGGGACCTGAAAATCAAAACTGAAAAATGGGTTGCAACGGCAAGCCAAAACTATGGTTGGCGAATTCCATTCTTTTTCAATGGGTAGTTTGAGGGCTCAGGTACCTGGAGTCTCCGTGCCGTGTGACCTGATGAAATGGGTCCACATCTTCCTTTTAAGGACCAGAAGTGACTCCAGGCACGCGGGTTTTGAACCCGAACCATCTTCTGTTTTAAGGGGGCCGGTTCCTGTGCAGGTTCCATGTATGTTTGTTGGGCTACTTGGGTGTTCGATTCGCCAAGCTAGGAAGTTGTTGAAAAGCCCAGTGGCTCCATGCACTTGCTTTGGTAGGTAACCAAGGGCTTGCCACCCTTTCAAAACAAGAGGAAAACATGGCGAAGGGTTACCCATAGTACTCAAAGGGCGAAACGCCTGGGATCCACTGGGATGGTTCTAAGCCAAACCCCGCGTGGGCCCACGGACCCTCAAACTACCCAGACAAGAAAGGAATTCACCCTATAGTGTTGGGGCAATCACTAATTTCTGCTAGGCAGATTTGAGGGTAATCCGATTACTTTCGAAAGAGAACAACAACACACCTCAAACAATCCGTGACTGTGGGGGTTGATTCATCCATATGTCGCCATGAAAAGCCAAGCCTGGCACAAACCCCGCGTGAGTCACAATGAAAACCCGGTATTCAAATGGTCAACCCAGAACCATGTGAAGAATTAAGAAGGCGGATATCCGCAGTTATTTCTGGCTGGGACTGCCCCTTACTGACCTTCATCAATCCCCAGGTTTTGAGGACGTGGCTCACGTCGATCCGTCCAGATCCGCCGAAGCCCACCCTCAACATCGGTGACTGTGGTTGATTCATCCATAACCATGAAAAGCCAAGCCCCACGGGCTTGGCAAACCCCACGTGGATGCGTCCAAATCAAGGCTGTGGGGGATGACCACTTCTGTAATACAACAGAAAGGAAGTCCCAAAGTTGTTTTTGGTTCATAAGGGGGATTCCCATGTATCACTGTATCACAGAAGTGGGAGAAACCCCGAGTGATCCCACGTCCATCCGTCCAAATTGAATGTACCCCCAGTGATACGGGATTTTGGATTTTGACCCATGGCCAATCGATCCGGGTGTTTGTCTGTCTTTGGACCCCAAAACGGTCGGCTTCCTTTCGGGTCCCTTGAAAACCACACAGAAAACCATGGCACCAGCTCCAACCCCCCCCCCCCCTTCCCTTCCCCCCCAAGGTGCCTGTGATACACACCATGTTATGTGATCTACATGCATAAATGACGAATTGAAGAATTGAAGAAAAATCATCATTCATCTAGTATATGGCCATTGGTCAAAAGCCCGAACCCCCAGTGAACATCCCAATCCCACTAAAATAGGTACTAAACTGGGTGGTCTTATTTCAAAATGGGACCATTCTGGTTTTGACCACCACAGCCATATATGCGCACATCCCCATCCGATGGGTTTCAGCGCCCCATCCGATGGCCGCGCCTGGATGGAGCTGGCCCTCCGGGATCTCCGGCCAGGCCTCCAAAGGCGCCACCAGCGCCTTCATCAGCGGCCGGGCGTCCCGCATGGCGTAGCTCACGTAGCCTGCCACAAGGCCGCAGTGGACGCGGTGGACTCGGGGAACGTCGAGTTGTGTCCCCCCCCTTTTTGTTTTCTTCGCCCCCCCCCCCCCGCAAAAAAAAAGAAGGGAAAGAAGAAGAAAGAAGAAAGAAGAAAACAAAAGAAGAAGAAGAAGAAGAAGAAAGAAGAAAGGAAGAGTAAGGAGAAGAAGAAGAAGAAAAAAGAAGAGTAAGGAGAAGAAGAAGAAAGAAAAGAGAAGAGTAAGAAGAAGAAGAAGAAGAAGAAGAAGAAGAAGAAGAAGAAGAAGAAGAAGAAGAAGAAGAAGAAGACATGACACACAATCATCAAGACAAAGAAACAACAACAAAAATAACAGGGGTGGTCTGTACGTTGGGGTCGCTTCTTGTTCCCAGGCCATTCCCTGAGTCGCCCAAGTCCACTTGCGGGTTGCCAGAAGGGGCAAAGAAGAAGCAACTCTGCCCTCGACAAAAACTAGAAACGTAGAACGAAGGCACGTGAGCGAAGAAATCTAGGCCCATGTCAGAATCAGTTTCAACTATGGTACGTCTGTCTTGGTACCTTGTCAGGATTAATTTTTGAACTTTTGTTTTGCCGTGCATCCTCACGTACTGCGGGGGTTCTCCGCATTCCCCTTTGACCATCGCTGCACCTAGAGGAAGCTTGCGCTTCAAAATTCTATTCCCAAAAGGTGTCGCTAAGACACTTTGACAGGTGTTTGCGCACATACATTTCAACCTTACTGTCTCCCCGAAAAAATGCTCTTGCAACAATAATGTCCAGTTCGGTGTCTTTGTTGAGGGTACCCCCTTTTGTGGTAGTGAAGGGAGACCAAAAGGAACACAGAAGACATGTTGTGGGGTCCAAAACCTCAACAAAGACCCCCCCCAATAATATACCCTAGCAAATCAAAATCCCAAAGCATCTTACTGTAAATCCTGGGAACAACTACCTCCCAAACCCTCAAACTATCCACAAAAAAAGCGGATTCGCCCCCATACTTTGGGGGAAAAAACGATGTTCAAGTTGACAAATGAAATTCTTGAGGGTCCAGGTCCGCTCCATCCATCCGACTCCTGCTGCATGTTTGCCTGATGTCCATTTCTTAAGGTTCCTCAGGCCAAGACCTCAGAGAATCCTACTCATCCAAGCTCTACTTAGACGGTCTGGGAGTTGGCGAATTCGCGAGTACTTCTGGTTACAGGAAAAAACATGCGACCAGTGCAAGTCGGCTACAACTAGGGCGACTAGCCACTTCGCTACTGGGGCCTCCAGTAGAGAGGTTAGACTAAGGGTACCAACTTTTTTTCAGTCGTCTATTTTAGTAGGGGAATCCTCCCCAAAAAGGGTGAGAAAGGGCACTACTGGGGGACCTAGGCGAAGTCCCAAGACCATCCAAGTCGCCGAGAAAAAAACAGACACCAACAAAACAAATCCTAACGCCCAGACCATCCAAGTGGCCCAAAAAAAAGGAAACCCCCCCGCCCCAACAAAAAAATCGAAGCTTCGCCGCCTGTGGCCGCTTCGCCGCCGGGCTCCAAGGGCGGGACCAGGACAGTGGCAACGCCTGGCGGGCGTGGAGTTTTCTCATCCCGAAAGAGCTCTAACCAAGAGCTTGGGACTCCGAAAATCAAAAGCCAAGTGATTCAAATATCCTGTTGTAGCTGTTTGCTTCTTTCTTTTGTCTCTGTGGTTTTGTTTGTCTTTTTTACCAGGCGACTTTAAAGATTGAGTTTGGGTTCCAGAATAAAACAAAGAAAGACGACCGAACAAGAAATTGAAAACTTTTGAATGCTTGGTTTGGACAAGTCAGCAAGGAGCCTCGCTTGAATCACAAACCCCCCATTTAGCCAGTGGTGCACCCCGCTAATAAGCTCCCATCCCGCGGGCTGTACACTGTGTTTCACCCATGGGGAGTTGTCAGCTGGAGATATGGTCATGGGTCAAAATCCCGTACCCCCGGTGAACATCCCAATCCCAACTAAAATAGACTAAAATGGGTGGTGCACCCACCCCAAAATGGTACCATTGGTCTTGACCCACAGCCATATGGGCCACATGCTAGATGGGTTTGTCTTTTTCAGGCTACCGTTTTTTCTTTTGGTTTTAAGGGGAAACCAGGAGGAAAGCCACTTTGGGGGGTCCAACCTACAAGTCAATTGGGGTGGGGCGGTCCCAGTTGGGGCTCACCCATTCCGACTATGTTTGGGACAGCCAAAGTCCAAAAGTCTGCGCAGTGTCCTTGGGAAAGGTCAACCAAACAACAAGGCAAGGGTGCGTCTCTTTTGAGGGTATTCTGTTTCATGCCGTTCTGAAAAAACAACCACCCCGCAGTTTGGTGTGGTTTCCCTCTTTCCTTGTTGCAGCCGTGCCAAGGTCTTCGGAATTGGAGCACCTCACAAGCCCACGAGCGACGGTGCTTCTGTTTTCTGACATGGGGTCAATGACAGGTCCACGCCCTTGTTCAAACATGGCTTTTGGGTGTGTCTGTTTCAGGGACCCTCATGGTGGTGTTCCTTCTTTGTTTCCCTTAAAAGCCTACCAAAAAGGGGTACCCTCACAAAAGACACCCATTTGTTCGACACTCTCCTGTTGATTTCCCTTTCAAGGGGGTCCATGGTCTGGGTAGAACACATTATTTGCAAGCTTGGAGGAGCCATTGATTTTGTTGGGTGGTTCAAACAATTTAATTTTGGAGGGAGATCCCAAACACAGGCACACACTTGGTTGCTGTAACGACCCCTCTGCAAAACGTGTTTCACTTCTGCGCTGATTCTTTGGCTTTCACCCAATCGATTCCAACCCCGAAGGTTCATGTTTCACTTGTGGGCTCCATGGAAAACCAACAAAAGGCCCAACCAACAAGCTGTCAACTCTAAAGATCCATTACCCTTTTTAGGGTTGATGAATGAAGTTAGCGCGCCTACCTCAAAAAAAAATACCAGTAAAGGCAAGCCAAGGTCCCAGCGGATTAGCTTCTGAACATGACTTCCCGTCCAGGGTTCCAGCGGATTTCAAGGGCCTGTCTTGTCGTCGAAGATCTGCACGATGATGACTCGGCCCTTCTCCCAGCGTGCGATGGGCTCGCCAGAGAGGCTTGGGGTGGCGAAGACCTCGAGACTCGCGTGGGTCTTGCACCGAGCAGCTTGCAACCACCTGGACCCCGGAAGAACTACCATGAAAAAGGTTGGACATTCACCCAGTCCAGAATTTTCGGGTGCACTCATCCACTTTAAAGTTGGACTTTTGTGGGTCTAGGCATGGTTATTGTAAGGGGAAGATTCCCCCAGTTACACCTCAGGCGCGGGCGCTCATGTACCAATCTTCCGCCTTTTGGATCTCCAGCGCCTCGGGATCGATACCTCAGAAAACTCCTTCCACGGCCAGCGCTTTTTTTTTCCATTGGGCCCGAAAGAACTAACTCCAGGCACCCATTTGGGTCAAAACTAAACCGGGCGACAGGTTTTAGTCCTTGTTTCCATCGGCTCGTTCTTTAAAAGTTGGACTTTTGAGGGTTTAGGTCTTCGTGCGAAGATACCCCACTCTCCCTCCCCGCACCTGGCAAAGGGTCCCATGAATAAGAAAGAAAGTTTACTCTCCAAGGTACCCCTCCCACAGGTGCTATGTCAGTGGGGGGGAAGGGTAGGGAACCAACAAATTAGCCTTGTCAAAGGGTGGCTTGGGTTGCCTGTCAGCGGAATCACTGGCAGTGGTAACTTCCGTTCTCAGCAATCCTTTTTCCAGAAAACCGACCAAAAAACAGGAAAAAACAAAACAATCCTTGTTTCCCCCCAAAAAAAAACAAAGATCCAAAGATCCGTGCCCAAACAGCCACAAAGCAAACCACCACTAGGTCGTGGAAATAGCCAAAGTACCTTTACCCGACTACATCGGACTCCTGAGGACCAACACGGACCCAAAAACACCTTCCATGTGTACGAGCATCTCCTCCTGGGTGGACGCGTTTCTCTTCTGCCGCGGATGGTTGCGAAATCTGTTTCGCACCTAAGAAAACCTGGAAGCATGATTCAGCTGTAGATGCCAATAAACAATGGTTGCAGCCATGGATTCAAAGTGGTGCGAAATGGATTTCGGTTGTCCACACTATCAACTAACAAACCCTCTGCCCTAATTTCTCATCAGAATCCCTGGAAAGAATTGGGAAGCTACAGTGTATGCCCTAAATATTGCAAGCAGACCAACCACACGTACTCAACCACATAACCATGAACAACTCAGGCAAATTAGTGGGTTTCCTCATTCCCTTGAAATACTTATGGCATCCACCGCACTATATGGCCCAAAAAAAAAGAAGAGAAGCACTGAGCATGTTGTCAGATTCTGTGTCATAGTTGGTCTACCCTACAATATGGCTTTGTCTCACAATATGGTATCCCCAAAATGCTCGGTTTCTGTGTGTTTCCCTTTAAACCAACGCCAAAAAGGTACCTCCAAACAAACATCACTTTCATACGGATGTGTGTTTTTAGGAGACACCCCCAAACATTGCTTCGGCGTTCTTCTTGGTTTCCCTTAAACACCAGCCACCCACACACTCAAAATTCCCTTAAAAACGACCTGTTGCCCCAAAATATAGAACTGGTGAATTTTGGTAAATTCCCTTCTTTCAGGGAATCCACACCAGCCAAAACGGGGGACGCTCAACAAAAGCATGCTTCCATTTGCTTAAGACCCCTGAAAAAACAAAAAACTATTTCCCGTAGTGATAAATTCCGTTTAAAACCAACCAGGGGAAAAAACAAAAAAACAAAAACATAGCATTAAGCAAATGGACGCCCATAAGAAGATGGAGCAATCATGTTGCTCCCATGAGGGTTGCAATGCGGCCAATCAAAGGCTTGGGCTACAGGAAAGTCAAAACAAAAAAACACTTTTCCCATGGAAGCATAGAGCACTTTGCCAAAGGGACGTGCCAGCCTTCACCATAACTTGGTTGACGTTGGAAGGGGAGCAAAAAAATAAAATATCCGCCGACATTGCTCGGCGTGTCGGATACTTACTAGAGGATAGAGGATAACCCCCCCCCTAACCCCCCCCCGCCCGACGTCTATTACGTAGGTTTTTTGGGGGGGGGGGGGTCCCCCACGTACCGCGCGGCAATTTGATGACGTTCCACTAAACGTAGTCTTCGGGGAGCCGGTGTCGCAAAACAGGGGTCCCAGGCTCGATTCCCCCTGCCGGCTTTTTTGCTGGCTTGGGCTTCCTGCATCCTTTTGCCGAAAATCTGGAAAAACTCAATGTTTTTGGACGTCCTCTTTGCGAAAACGCTGGAAAAACCGTGTTTTTTTTGCGGGAAATACTGGGGAGCAAAGGGGAATGTGCAAGATACATACATACATACATACATACATACATACATACATACATACATACATACATACATACATACATACATACATACATACATACATTATACATACATACATACATTACATACATACATACATACATACATACATACATACATACATACATACATACATACATACATACATACATACATACATACATTACATACATACATTACATACATACATACATACATACATACATACATACATACATACATACATACATACATACATACATACATACATACATACATACATACATACATACATACATACATACATACATACATACATACATACATACATACATACATACATACATACATACATACATACATTACATACATACATACATACATACATACATACATACATACATACATACATACATACATACATACATACATACATACATACATACATACATACATACATACATACATACATACATACATACATACATACATACATACATACATACATACATACATACATACATACATACATACATACATACATACATACATACATACATACATACATACATACATACATACATACATACATACATACATACATTACATACATACATACATACATACATACATACATACATACATACATACATACATACATACATACATACATACATACATACATACATACATACATACATACATACATACATACATACATACATACATACATACATACATACATACATACATACATACATACATACATACATACATACATACATACATACATACATACATACATACATACATACATACATACATACATACATACATACATACATACATACATACATACATACATACATACATACATACATACATACATACATACATACATACATACATACATACATACATACATACATACATACATACATACATACATACATGTACATACATACATACATACATACATACATACATACATACATACATACATACATACATACATACATACATACATACATACATACATACATACATACATACATACATACATACATACATACATACATACATACATACATACATACATACATACATACATACATACATACATACATACATACATACATACATACATACATACATACATACATACATACATACATACATACATACATACATACATACATACATACATACATACATACATACATACATACATACATACATACATACATACATACATACATACATACATACATACATACATACATACATACATACATACATACATACATACATACATACATACATACATACATACATACATACATACATACATACATACATACATACATACATACATACATACATACATACATACATACATACATACATACATACATACATACATACATACATACATACATACATACATACATACATACATACATACATACATACATACATACATACATACATACATACATACATACATACATACATACATACATACATACATACATACATACATACATACATACATACATACATACATACATACATACATACATACATACATACATACATACATACATACATACATACATACATACATACATACATACATACATACATACATACATACATACATACATACATACATACATACATACATACATACATACATACATACATACATACATACATACATATACATACATACATACATACATACATACATACATACATACATACATACATACATACATACATACATACATACATACATACATACATACATACATTACATACATACATACATACATACATACATACATACATACATACATACATACATACATACATACATACATACATACATACATACATACATACATACATACATACATACATACATACATACATACATACATACATACATACATACATACATACATACATACATACATACATACATACATACATACATACATACATACATACATACATACATACATACATACATACATACATACATACATACATACATACATACATACATACATACATACATACATTACATTACATACATACATACATTACATTACATTACATTACATTACATTACATTACATTACATTACATTACATTACATACATACATACATACATACATACATACATACATATACATGCATACATACATACATACATACATACATACATACATACATACATACATACATTACATACATACATACATACATACATACATATGTACATGCATGCATACATACGAGAGAGGGAGAGTGGGGAGAGAGAGGCTTGGGGGGATGGGGAGGATGGGAGCAGAGGGAGGGAGAGAGGACGACAGAACACACGAGGGAGACAAGGAAGAGAGGAAGAAGGAGAAAAGGGAGAGGACAATGTCGGCGGACTGAGCCGGAGGCTCTAAAGTAGCAGCTAAGTGGGGATTTCCCACTAAACCACAATAGGCAAAATGTAAGATGCTTCCCAACAACAACCATGTTAAGCCAGGCGGCAGCAGAGCTCCCAGCTCCGGTTCAGCAAGAGGTCGTCCAAACCCCCGGTCCGGATCCTGAGGCAAGCGGCAAAACCCAGCAACTTGGACGTGACATTAAAACCAACAAAAAAAAGCAAACAGCACAACATTGTGTTTCTGTTGTTTTTGTAATCTTCAAACAAATAATAAATAAAACAACAGCCATGTAAAATAGGTTTCACGGTTGCCGAGCGCGGAGAGGCAGAACACCCTGCGTTGGACGTGTGTTTTATTTTTGTTTTGACAAAATAACAAAAAAGGCCATGTTAGATAGGGTTTCACGGCTAGACAAGCCAAGTAAAAAGGTATAACTTCATGGTTCTAGCTGGGTAGCTCGGGCTTTGGCTAGAACAAGCCATGGTCATAACCTACAAAATGGGACAACCACCCCACGTCAGGTAAGTGGGCTATCCCCGGTTTAGTCACCTAAGTGAGTTATGTGTAGAGTAAATGCCACTTAGGAGCTTGTCGGCCATGCAGAACCGCTTAGGAACTTGGTAGCCTCTGAGGGATACTTGTTGACCTTCCAAGAAAGTACCAAAAGACCTGGACATTGGTAAGCCAGGATTTGTCTAAGACATTGATGGATGGCCTAGCGCAAATGAAACAACCAAATCCAACCACAAACGGTGCCCCCACAAACGGTTACTTACAGGGGTGTCCCTCCGTCCCCTTGTTCCCCTACTTGTACACTGTTTGGGCATACACGGAGCTGGCCGTCGGTAAAACAGGGGACATTTAGAGTTCAAAGGCGTGGAAAAGAGGGATTCAATCACGTGCTGCTTTTCGGTCAAAGATCGCCTTGTGCTTGACTCGTTCAAGCGATCGTGGGAGAATTCTTTGACACATAAGTCTTTCTGGACCCTCCAAATTCCCTTACACGGGCTATTGCAGCCCAAAACTAGGGTCAGTGAAGTCCAACTGTTCTACGGGTAGTTCTTTTGGGTTCAGTTAGATACATCCCCGAATCGTTCCCCACATTGCCAAAGATTCAAGAACATTGAAGACACTTTGTGCACAGAGAGAGGGGCGGAACAAATTAGGATCCACCTTTGAAACATGGGGCCCCAGATCCATTCTGTAGACACCGGTCGACGGCTTGCTCTTTCATCCTACCTAGACCCGAACGAACTACCCATAACAAAGGGAATTGACAAATTCCATAAGTTTGGGACAGCAACACATTTTTAAGCTGCAATGCTGGGGGGTTTAAGTACTCCTAGTTTGTGGTTTGGTTTGGCGTGGACGTTAAGCGACCCGTTTTCTATGTGGCCTCAAAACGAACTGGGGTTGGGATTCAAATCCCCAAGCCACCAATCCACGCCACCAACTAAGGGCTACGTCTCTAAAAAACAAGCCCAAAGGGCCAAAGAGATCTGTTTGGCAAACGGATGAAGAACTCACCTTCGGCCTGAAGCAAGGAACAGAAGGAAGGAATCAGCAACCCCCAAAAGCCCTACCTCGACCTTATTTGGCCCCTGCCTCATCTGGAATTATCAAGGTTGACACACACCTCTGAAGGGGACCCCCCACCCCAAGCACATTCACTAAACAAAAAACTAAAATAGACACAATTTGTTGGATGGTCGTGTTTCGATGTGTTTGGGGGGTCCAAACGGAAAGACAATCTATGACATGAAGCCCCAAGTCTCCGATGCATACGGTCACAACTCATTTTACTGGCCAGGACAAGTTGACAAGCTTCCGAACTTCTTGGGCAGCCGAACTGAACATGACAAACAGCGCACAGCGCTACTCACCGAAAGTTCAAAGCTTGCCAACTAAGAGGATAAGATGGAGATGATCCACCTGGGAAACATGGCTGGAGCCAACCTCGTTTGGCCAGCTCCAACCTCACAAACATCCATTGTGTCCAGCGTCTAGGTCCCTACCCCGACGCCATTGGTGGGAAGTTTGCACTCCTTAAGGTGACATATTCGCAGGCCTTCCAACGGCAGCTTTAAAAAAACAGAACTCGCCCAAATTGGACCCAGAACGAAAAGGTGATCACCTTCTGGGGCCATGACTAATGGGTACCAAAACTGGAAAACCCGAAAGGCTAAAAGGTCGATTCGCTTTGGGCAACCGAGTAAAAAGCAACTCGGGGTGGATTCTTCCATGTGTTGTCAACAAAATTCCGTGAGTCTGAAAAAGGATGGCTTCAGAATGGCTGGATCTTTTTTACCTGGAGCCTCAAAACAGGCTTTTGGCTCCCAAGACATGGGGTGAGTGCCCCGTGGTTGGGGGCCCGCGGCCCAGGCTTCGAGGCCAAATCCAACGGCAATCCAACCAGGGAAGGGACCTTTGGAGCTAAACCTCACCGGCTGAGTGGATGGCCCAAAAAAAGAAACGTATAACCAAACCTTTTTCGTTTTCCACTGGAATTCTGGGGGTTTGTCCCCCATTCTTTTCAACCATCGTTCTTTTCGAAAAACCGCCGTTTCCCCCGGGTTTCTGGAGGTTTTCTAGAAAGAAGGATCCCTGGAAGGAATGGGGGAGGTACCCCTAGAAGAATGGTCCAAACCCAAAAAGTCTAAAGCTCATGAACTCAGGAAGTGAGAAACCTCCTGCTCCCTCACTCCAAAGGCAACTTGGGCTCGGTCGATCTAGGAACCATTGGGGCTGAAAGCGCTTGGAATCCTGACAACACAACAAGCCGATGGCTTGGATTGCTGGTTTGGTGGTTTGGGAGCGGTTTCCCATCTACCCCCTACAAGAACCAGGGCTTCAAGTCCCACCAATCCAAACCACCACTCACCCGAACAGGGTACCTGAGCATTCCCTCAGCATTACCAAGTAATGCAAAGCAAAAACACACACAAACAAGAAAAGCACGGACACCACCAACACCCAACCTAAGTACCTGAGCATTTTTTGAGCATTACCAGGCAGCCAAAAAGAGCCGAGAGCCAAAAGCTAAGCGCCGCCGGGCGTCACCTCATTGACACCCCAGGTGGTCCGCCCGTTCACCGGGGACACGTACAACGGCCGCTGCCAAATGGGGTCCGTCACCTGGCGCCAGCCGCCTGAGTCGAGCGCTCGTCGAGCGCTCGTCGCAGGTCAGTCCAAGCGGAAAGCATGGCACATGTTGAAGAAAAAAACCGGAGACTAGGTCTCACCCAAAAAGAAAGGAACAAAAAGGGCGCTACTGCGGGTTTATTTTAGTAGCGGAACCCTCACCCCAAAAAAGGGTAAGCAAGAAAAGGGCGCTAATTACTGCGGGACCTAGGAGATGCAACAGGAAATTCAGCACGTAATTTTGAGCAATCACAGAAAACTTGAGCTTGCTGGTGCGAGAAGGGAATGACCGAGTCCTGGTGTTGGGAGTGAACCGACTGGGGAGCCCCGAATAAAAGGAAACCAGTTGGATGGTTTATGGGGGTGTCAGACTCCGTTTCTCAACCCTGCCTGAATGGTATGGTGTGGCATGGTTTCTCTACTTGGATGTCCCATTTAGCAAGTGGAACGCCCCAGTGAATACGGAACCCGAACTTGGCCCACACACGCCGGAATCACACTGAAGGGGTGTGGTTGGGGTGAGTCTATGGGGTTCCTGAATTCGATTCATGGGTTCCGTTTAGCTGCCTTGCCCCGGGACTCACGAGCAAAATGTGATCTCACGTTTTGTGACCTTGACTATAATGAAACCAAACCAAACCAAAAGCTCTGATCAGGTCGATTCGCGTACGCCAAAACATGTTGTCGATTCGCTTGCCAACTGGTGGCTTGGAGCCCGGTTTCCCCATCTGTCCTCTTCAAAGGGTTCAAACCTCAAGCAATCCAAACCAATGCCTTGGTTGACGTTGGAAGGGGAGCAAAATTTAAACCACAATAAGCAAACATGTAAAATGTTTCCCAACAACAACCATGATGCTGGGTCACCCGTCTTGAAACAACTCACTACACAACCAGCGCAAAACCACCGGGATCCCCATTGGTTGCTGGCAGAATTTCGTGATCTCATCTGTGCTATGTTCTTGTATTCTGCGGGGAATGGGAATTGACTATGGGTGCCAGAGGGATGTGTTGATTTGCTGTTTGCACCCAAAGGCTCAAAGCCCAAAGGCGTCTGCCAGCTCCGGCAGAGCTTGCCACTTCCAGTTGGAATGGTCGAAGCCTTCGGCTGAGAGTCCAAAGTTGGCCCTAACACCTGAGTATTAAAATGGTCGATCCCCAGAGCCATGCTTCAAGAATTAAGCCGGATCTCCGCAGCGATTTCTGGCGACTCACAACACCTGGAGGTGAGCACTTGGCCGGAGGATCGCTTCGTGCTTTTGCTTGCGAAGTATGCCGCAGGCTTCCGAACATGGAGCCGGGGAGAGTCTTGGGCTTAAGAGATAGGCAGCTAGCTTCCAAGTTGGATGGGACCTGTTCCCAACATACCCAGAGGGTCACTTTTTCCCGGAAACTCGCCGACTGATAAACAGCTGAACGCTTTGGTGTCGATAGGCCTAGATAGCAAATAGGCTGAAGGGTGCCAAGCGGGTTGCTGTTGGGGATGCCACCCGGGCTGAATTTTGAGGGAAAGGCTCCTGTTGAGGGCCCAGCCAGCCACAACTCCCCACGCCCTGGTGTCCAAGCCTCATTTCTGGTTGGAATCCTATGACACTTGTGAGCTGAATCCGGCAAAGGGGGCTTGATACGCGGAAATCCACCCACTTTCTAGTGCTCAAGTGGATTAGTCCGGGACCCCGGCCGATCACGGTCTCCCTCTGCGCCCCCTGCTCTGGCGGTCCCACAAACTGCTCCGCCAGCTTCCTTGGTCGGCGTCGATCGCCGAGGGGGGTTGTGGATGGGGGCTAGGTGGGAATGAGGGGGTGGTTTCCACTTCGGTCCCGGGATACATCCCCTCTAAGTGCACAACTAGTCATTTAAATGGCCCATGGGTA